GTCGATGGAGTTATCGCTCGAAATCTGGGGGCTCTTCGAAGGAGGCTCGTAACAATTAATAAGTGCTCTTCAAATAAGGAGCTTTTTTCCACCGACTGTAGGAGGGTTACGTAAAGCAGGACACAGCTCCCTCCTATCCACCCGGCTTCTAACCTCTTACACAATTGTGGGACGTGAGCGTCCGTAGTTCCATTTTCACGTTAGCCGTGCAAAGCGTTGAGTGGCCCAACCGGTAGGGTGCAAATGCAATTACACCTTCACTGCAGAAAAACTATGAATATTGAGGTGAATATATGATGGGAGTAGATATGAGATGTCGAACAAATTTTACCAAGATACTGGTTTCACTATCTACAGTGATGTTGCCGAAAATTGATGCGTCACATCCAGAGGCATGTTTCAGCATTTAACTCCCAAAAGATCAATCTAATTTAAAGCTTAAATTAATTCCGGACGCGGGAATCAACTATATGTATAAATGAAAAAAATAAAAATCGACGGTGTATGTCGGTAATCACATCCGCAGACTTCCTGTCATACATTATTTTTTAAACGGAAAACTACTCAACGGCAATTCTTTAAAACTGCCGTGATTTTTCTTTTCCGTAGGATGAAAATTATGCATAAACTTCAAGGAATGATGTCAATTTGCTCTCCTTTAAAAAAATAACATAGATGCGGAGATTTTCAGACATCGCAAACGAGATAATATGTGATTGCAGACTTACGCCGTCGAAATATTATATCGACGTACCTATGGATTACGGACGTACGTCTATCAGGGATGTTTTTCAAGAAAGTGTATTGCTGTCAAAATTGAGAGTACTAAGTCAGGGCCGGATTAAGGGGTGGCCACATGGGCTGCGGCCCATGGCGGCAAATCTAAGGGGCAGCATAAATTTGCAATTTATTAAAGTGTAGGTTTAAAAAAAAATCGGATTTATAAAAACAAAATTACAAACGAGAAAAGGCGACAAAATCTCTCATTTCCTGAGAGTATAGTAATTTCTGATTTTGTCGTCTCTTAGTGATACAAGAGACAGCACCTCCAATAAGTCGAGTTAAGAGAGAGACCAAACACGCAATTCGGCCTGGAACGGCGCGACTTAGAGAGAAATGATAACGAGGACTTGAGATGAAAAGCAGAAGCCCTCGGCGCGGCGATCGGCATGTAACACATATTAGCGCCTACAAGACTGCACGAATACTTCACGCATTGCATCAAACACAGTGCTGTCATTGCGGTCAGCGTGAAACGGATAGCGCCTACAAGAATGCATGAATACTTCACGGATTGCGCCAAACACAGTGCGGTCAGCGTGAAACGCATAGCGCCTACAAGACTGCGTGAATACTTCACGCATTGCGTCCAACACGGTACGGTCTGCGCGGCGCGGCGGCGGAAGTAAAAATCATTGAACCACATTTATGTTTGTTCTTTCATAATTTTTTCGTTCATTTCTTATGAATGGAAGGCCTTGTCCACACAGAGATAGATTTACGGAACTTAACTTTCGCGCCAAGTTTCGTGAACTTTTGCTAGTAGTGTTGACAGGGCTTTCCCAAACACGATATGTGTTCAACACGAGTAAATGCGTCTTATGCACCCCTCCCCCGCTGGCACGTTCATTTGATGGTTTTTATCGAGTTTCAAAACGAATGAGAAGGGGGCGGCAAAATACAGGCGGCCCATGGGCGGCAAGTAGGTAAATCCGGCTCTGCGTACGTCTATCAGGGATGTTTTTCAAGAAAGTGTATTGCTGTCAAAATTGAGAGCACTAAACATCGACCGATGCTCGGTATATATTTTACATTATTTGGTATGTTCGGAAACCCCCAAAAATTCGATTTAGAAGCTGTTGATGAGACCACAATAATATTGTGAAAAATATCCGAAAATATATTTTTTAGTTTTCAGCTTTCACTTCGCGACAAATGCGGTTCAGCACTGACGTTTCCGCAATAGGTACATACCCCTCGATGCGCACCTAGTGCACTTGTGCACAGTGAATCCAACGGTCAGCTTTGGGTTGGTTTTTCTTTTTCCACACCTGGAGTTAGCAACACTGTGCTGCCCCTACGTTTCAAAAGTGTATATTTTTTTTCAAACCTAAGGAAGAAAATTGAAAACAAAAGCAGGAAAGAGGCCATTACTTTCGGAATCTCCCGCCACATTTCCATAATTTGCCTCCCTCCAACAATTTGCCGCACCGGTTCTGTATTTCTGTAATCCTCTCACCTTAATCCACTTTCAACGGACGCATTTGACGTCGTGTAAAAAGTTGTAAGAAATACGATAGTGTCACTGGTCATGTTCATGATCAACACCCAAGCTCAGAGGAAGCCTTAAAAGGGGAAACCATAATCAAGAAGCCACTGTTTCATGAGAAAGGTCGTCTTTTTCCAGTTGAACAATCCATGCAGTGATAAACTCTGAATACGCTGGCAGGGTCTCCGTGATTATGGGCTAAAACTGTAACTCTCGGTACGTCAAAAACCTATACACGGTGGCAGCTTCACTAATATGCCTGCTAAAATTGGATCATTGCATCTAGAAACGAACTGATAAGTTTTTTACCTTTTAAGAAAATCGAGTTGAAAGGTTCAGTTCCATCAACTAAAACAGGTTTTTGGGTTTTATTTAAAAATAATTGCCCTTGTAAAGAACGCAAGGATTTAATAAGGTGACTGGTTTCTTTCTATGCTTTATGAATGGAACGGAATCAATTCACAGAAGAGTATGAACTCTGAGCTGTCTTTATCCTACGACCTCCTTCAAGATCGCAACTGAATTCACGGAAAGGGATCAACTCGAGCGAGATCCTTTCGGTGAAATTCGTTTTCAACTGGGCAAGGAGGTGGTTCCGATTGCGAAAAAGTGCCTTCCAGGACCGGATTAGCGCTCAAGGGCTGGGCTGAGGGTGCTCGCGGGCAGAGAGACCCGCACATTGCGGGTTGCATTCTTTGTAAATTGAAGGCGGTTTAAGATTCCAAGAAAACTTAAGGTCCCAAACGCTCTCACTTCGGTCTTAGGAGATAAAAAAATACTTATTTTATTTGTTCTTCCTAAAATCCTAAAATCCTAATTTCAGGACCTCTCAAATCCTCTACAATTTTCAAGACTCTCGCCCCNAAAAGATTTGATTGGACCACCAGTAGAAAAAAAAAATTGGAAAAAAAAAAGAAAACCGTTCCACAGAAAGCCCGGCTAATACGGCCGTGGTCAGTTACCTAGCTACGTAAACACCTCGCACGGAAGCACGAATTGTTATATTGTTGTTTTGATAAGTACGTCACTTGGCTCTAACCTCTAAATTATACCGCAATTTTTGCCTGTTTACCGAACCAACCATATCCTTAGCCTCTTTTTGAGAAATTCAATGCCAGAAACTAAACCCCTGCGTGGGTGTGGCCGAAATGGGCTGATGTGCATTTGGGGCTTAAACTGTCATATTTGCGCGCAAATTCGCCACATTTACCTAACGGTTATACAAGAAAAAAAAGCTAATTTAAGATTTAAAAATGTCGGAATACAAGTACGTTTTTTTCATGTGAAGAAATTGCTGTCACACATTTAAGAGAATGACGGGCTCATTCAGATCATCAGCCATAAACCAAATTTCCCCATAAAATACGTTGGTTTCCCTCTGCCGAAGCCGAAGGTGATCCAACTGTGGAGAGCTCTTTGAAATTGAAAGTTGATTTTAATCAATGACAACATTTAAGCGTAATCTATACTATAAGCTCCAAGACCTCCTAATTTTGCGAAACTGGTAACGCTTAGTTCCAGCGTTCTACCGCTACGATTTTCATGATTTTTGCGGCTATCGACGAGCAATTGTCTCTAGATAAGCCAACTTTTTTCAGATTTTCAAAATATGGCCCAGGTTTTTTTATATTACGTGGTAAAGTTGCGAATTCTCCCATTTAAACAATGTAAATTTATACTTTTTGTCATAGTTCGTTTAAGCGTTCTACTGGGCCGATTTCCATGATTTTTGCGTAAATCGACAGGTAATAGGCCCTAGATGAGCCCGCTGTAATCAGATTTTGGAAAAAGGACCCAGGTTTTTTTAAAATCACGTTATAAAAGTGAGTGAGTTTACAGAATGCTCCGGTACTGCTACCGCTCTGCGCGGGAGGATGCGCAGTGGTCGAGGAGGTTGCGCAGTAGCTGTGTGGCCTGCGCATCAGCTCTACACTTATCTACACAAGATTCACGCCAGCGAATTCACGTCGAGCGGTGGTCAAGTCGTCAAAGACGTCGAATGCGTCCGCTTTGAACTCCGTGTGGGTTCGATCCCCGACTCACGAATCTCTTAATTATTACCGACTATTATTGTTCATTGTTTTACTGCAATATTTTATCAAGCAGTCATTCCAAAACGCGTCCTTTTAATTTTAAAGTAATTTTAAGTAAAGTTTGAAATTAGAGTATACCTCATATCGTAATTTTTTAGGGGAAAAATAAAACCAACACTGATAAGTGGGTAAAAATAGGGCCGCTGCGGCCCATTGATGGCGCGGAGCGCCTTCAGGGGGTTGGGCCGCGTAGCGGCCAGGGGGCGTAGCCCCCTAGTTTTATATATGGATACAGTTTATTGAATCGCAAATCGGTGCTGAATTTCATTTTCAACGACAGAATACGTAAATACGTAAGCACTTTTATTTTATTAAAAAAAATATATGGAAATTGTGGAAACTTTACACCATAGTTGATGGCATTGCTTTTTTTTGTCGTGAAGAATTTTTCTGATTCTAGTATTTTTCCTCGTAAAAAATAGCTATCAACCATGGTGTGAATTATTTTTTTTGGTTCAAATTTGCAGTTGCTGGTATTAAGGATTCAGTTTGCTCTCGTGTCTTGTCCCTAGGGAAGAGTCATCCTTATACTTTACAATTGCCGGGAGAGGAGGGAACTTTATTGGATGCCTCAATATCTCCCCTTCCATCCCCTCGGATGCAACCCGTGATACCTCTGAATTTTATTTGAGACTCACCTCAACATTTGCAAGAATATCCAAGAATATCCCAGTGACTTCGAAGTTTTGAAAAGCTTCTCGATTGCATCGACAGTTTTGATCCTTCACACATTTACCAGTGCGTCCACATTATGTTTTGGAGCTAATTTTAAGGACCGTTAATTTCACACGAACATTCTTTTACACTCAAACTTTCACTTGTGCATGTTATATTTTGATTCCGGCCTTTACTATACATTCCGCACTTTAGGCAAACACTCTTTTCCACGCTTTAAACTTTTTACACTGAGCATGCTAACGCGAGGAGATATTGCCGACACAGTTTCATTCGATTTTTATTCTGTTTATTTTTTGTTGATAATAAAGAGCAGGGTTAGGAACAACATAATTTACGCACAGAGGCAAGCAAGTAAACCAATTCATTAATGTTCGGTTACGAAATTCAGCTTTGAAAATAAAAGAAAGTTTTTCAAATTAATTTGTATCTTTGCGCAGCAATTGACGTTCCAAAAAAGTCGGACAAAAATAACGCTTCTTGATACATTTGTTTTATCGTCCAAGATGCATAGACTCACTAATCAAAGCTGAGTATCTTTTTCAGCCCTGCTCCCCTTGAGACGATCGAGAAAAAGAGAAGAGAGACCACTGAATTTACCTCTCCTAAAAAGAGATCAAATGCGATAAATAATGAGTGTAAATTTTACACTGTAAAATCAACCCGATAATATTTTTCAAAAAGTAATTTTTTCAATTTTTTTTTTTTTTTTTTTTTTTTTTTTTTTTTTTTTTTGAGGAAGCGATACTAATGAAAACGCACTAATGCCCCTGTCACGAGTTTTAATAAAACACACATATCACACGCGAGTTAAGGACGAGAAAACAAAGGAAGTGCAATCTGCGGTGCTTCCCAGGGCTTGGCACGTCAGGAAGCCATCGAAAGTTGCACGCCAACCTGGATGAAATTTTTGCTGGTCGCGGGACTTTTCGACACACGACGTCGTGATCGGGGGGTCACGAAAAAGCGGTCAACGGCGACAGGGAACTGGAAGAGCGAGATCGCAGCGCTGGAAATCGCTTCGCGGAGAAGCAACACGTAGTTGCGTTACGCTTATTGCGGGCCAACTGTGTGCACTGCCACTGGCGGCTATTCGCCGCGCCGCGCCGTTCGCCGCAGATAACTGTTGTTCCTCTCCACCCTCCCCCCTCGCTCGACCGGCCTGGATACCTGAACGAGGTAAACGGACATCTTCAAATTACCGTGCAACAGTGCGCTGCCACCGCTGCTCTCTAGCGGCGAACTTTGGTACCCTGCCTCGCGAAGCTGAGGTCGATGGAATCGGCGGGAAATTCGAACCGACAACGATCCGAGTTGGAAAATAGTGCGGTATCCACACATAGAGTACATAGAGTCGTAATGTAAGTGGGTGAGCTGGCGCCACTTTTAATCATTTTCCAGGTCCCGAATTTGGAGACTCCTGTGTGACGCCGGGTCACTTTTTCGATACATAATCGATTGTTTGCGATACACGGGTACCCGGCCATTCGACGTAAACAAAGAAGATAGGGATCACCACGTATTCCGCACCGCCATCTCGGATCGAACTTGTATCGAAAAAGTGACCCGAACTCGGCACACACCGGGCTCGGAACTCGTCGAGCAGAACATGGCGCCAGCTCCCCCATTTACATTACGACTCTATGTACTCTATGTATCCACACTAATTTGCGGTAAAACAAGACCCGAAAGTTCAAAAATTTTAACCAGAGTCAATTTTGAGCTATAATGAGCACTAGTAGAAGACCGAGGGGCCAGTCTCCAATTGTTGAACTTCTTGACCTCGTTTTCCCTGCGAAAAAGTGTTGACCAAGCTCTTTTTCACCACCTTGTTCCACACAGTTCGTGCCACGTTTCTCAGTGTTTTTTTCTCGATAAGGTTTAATGCGGCTTTCAAATGTCTCTAGCATGAATGGGCAACCATAAATTCCTTATCAAAAGCTTGAAGCATTGTGCCGCATAGGCAACGAACCTACCGGGGTGTGCAATTAGGTGAATCTTTTTGAAAAACGCATAGCCGTTTTTTTTCCAACTCGATGGACCCTAGCTAACGCAAAAAGACAAGCCTGTAATAAATGTAAAAATAAAATATTTCTCAAAAAATTGACAATGTCAAGATGAAAAGCAGTAGTTTCCTTCATTAGTACTAGTAGCATAGCTGGAATCAAGCTAAGGTACGAGAGCAACAAAGCGCCCTTAAATAGTATAAAAGCCGCCAAACACGGAATGAATTTCATTGTCAACTCCACGGATGTGTGTGATGCATACTCTCGGAACCGAAGGCGTTTTGACTCTCCGGGCGCCGCGCCGCGCCGTCGCCGTCACCCGTGGCGCAGCGTGGGATGGAACTATACTAATAAATTATAAAAGTGTTTTTTGGATTGTACACGTTTCCTATTCCTTGCAGCATCCCATATTCTCGAAAAATGAACGGTCATCATTTTTGTTCAACATTTTGTGCGTTATGACTAGATTGTTCTTTGAAAATTTCGCACTTACGAACTTTATTCAAATCATATGATGGCGACACTTATTACGAGGCCGAGAAGATTTGGAAAGTCCATAATGCTAACTGCAATGAGCGACTTCTTCCGGAATGATGACCCAAAACCTATTGATTTCACAAGCTACAATATTTTCAAGAAGCATCCGGAATTCTTCAAAGAGCATCACCAGAAATAATGAGCATCAACTTGGAGAAGAGGAGTCGGTCCAAGAAAAAACAGCTGCTGCTGCCCATCTCGAAAAGTCGGATCTTTAATGTTTGGGTGCGATTATCATCGAGCCTGTCTCAAGAATGCTGGCGATGCTTTTCCTTATTTGTCAATATCTTACACTCATAGTTTGCCTTCAATTTTGCCGGATAGGCAAAAACCCTGGTTAAAGGAGCCGGTTAACGAGTTTTACCCAGCGAAGGTGCTCATGCATGCTGCCGTATTGGGGGAATATCGCGCTTTATAGAACGAATATAGCACATAGTTTGTGGATGAGCGAACATTATTAGTTTTTTTTTTCAAGCTATTTGACAGATTTGACATTTCTTTCAGCTTCAAAGAGATAGAGAGGATACTCTTCATGTTAGAGTGCGAAATTTTTAAAGAACAATCCAGTGATAACGCACAAAATGTTGAACAAAAATGATGACCGTTCATTTTTCGAGAATGGGATGCCGCAAAGAATAGGTAACGTGCACAATCTAAAAAACACTTTTATAATTTCTTAGTATAGTTCCATCCCACGCTTCGCTACGGGTGACGGCGACGGCGCCTGGAGAATCAAAACGCCTTCAGTTCCGAGAGTATGCATCACACACATCCGTGGAGTTCAAATAGTTGTATCCAGGCGTTACAGTGAAATTCATTCCGTGTTTGGCGGCTGCTATACTATTTAAGGGCGCTTTGCTTGTAGGTGATAGGGAGGGATTTTAGACGAAAAATAGGACGAGAAAGAGACACAGTGTACATACATTCTGGCCAAAAAACTGGATCTCTGCCAATCGTGCATACCATACATGGCATACATGGGAGAAACCGTACCCATTTTGCAAGTTCGCAACTCTGAATACCTAGGAATTATCATCATTTGTTACACTTTTTTTGTATTCACTTTTAACGGTAATCTTCCCAGGAAAATTCGCTGCTCTGCGGCAGAACGGAGGGTAATACTCGTATAGACAAAATAAGAACACTTTTGGGTTAACTGGTCATAATATACCAGATTAAACCTTTTCAACACGTACTATAATTTTTTTTTAAATTTTAGTGTGAAAAAAATGTCGCAAAAACAAAAAATGCTCAAAAACTGATTATCCGAGGGAAAATCGGCTATTCCGAAAAACTAGAGAACGATGCGGAAAAATGGGTAGAATTTTCGGGGGGAGGGGGGTATGTATTAGAGTATTGTATGGAATGAACATCGTGTCTAATGCGTATGTAACTGTGTATGCGTATGCTACATGCGTATGTAACTTTTTTTTCTTTGTCGGAAAGGAAATCATGAAGTTCGCCTTAAACAGGGGCCAATATGCAGTTCAACGCGTATATCCGATTTCCGACTTGAGGTCACAAAACCGACAATTTCGTCGAATTGCGACATTTAGTAACTAAAAACTAAACAGTTCCTGAATCTGGGGGGTATTCTGAACAACATATCAAAAAATTACGTTGATATATTTTGATATATTTTTTTGATCTATGTTTAAAGACATGATCATAAGCCAATATGCCGCTCAGTGCGCGCCTGATCCCTGACTTGAGGTCACAAAAATGGCGATTCTGTCGATTTGTGGCACTTTGTGACTAAAAACTAAACATATTCTAAATCTGGAAGGTATTCTGAACAACATATCAAAAAATTACGTTGATATATTATTTTAATCTCTGTTTAAAGACATAATTACATCTCATTTATCGATCAAGTGGTTGATTTCAGACGTAAAAGGATGAACGCCATATTTGTCGTTAAATAAGGTCCAATTGATTAGAAATCCAATAGATTATGAATTTGAAACATCATTCTAACAACTTGTCAAAAAACACGGTTGAACTCATGCATGCACAATTGCACACTGGCTCTCTTTGGTCTCGTGTATGGCTGTTATGAATCAAGCCAATATGCCACTCAGTCCCAAGGAGAAGTGAGATCGCGATAAATTGCGATTTAATCGGAAAATGTATCGCGATTCTATCGACGGCGATTCATCGCAATATTATCGGGAGAAAAATTGCGATAAATTGAAATAAGATTTCGATTTCATCGAACGCGATTTTATAGAGATAAAATTGCAATAAATTGCAATTTTTCATCAACGCCCACTAACGCACGAATGACGCTTATGAAAGATGTTTCTATGCCGCCGCCGTCGCCGTTTTTACCAAGGTCCGTTGGTAACTTTACCATCTCTTTTTTTTACCAATTATTGGTAATGTTACTAAGACAGACTGGCAATAACCATCATCATAATTGAGGTTATCACCGCACGTTCCACAAATTTCACGGTTACGTTACAAATAAGTGAGTTTCCGCAGAAATTAACACGTATCGAAGGTCCATAGCCTTTGAGAGTGATGAGTGAATGAATAAAATGAGTTACGAATAAAACTGCTTTTATTCTTGAACACAAGGCACGCACATTACCGAGTGGCTCACGGCATGACAAAGAATGAGAAGCCTACCGCTGTAGACACGCTGTAGGTATGGTTGTATCCCGGTGCAATGAAGGGGCTAACATGCCGCCGATCTCAACCTACAACAAAAATTCAATTTGGTCTATTCAATGGCCCCTAAAAATTGAGCTCAATATGCAAGGTGGATCCTAAAGACTCAAAGGTGAGTTTGGAACACTAGATTCATGCCACCCAACTATTTTTACGGTTCAGTTTGGTTTAAAAGTTCGGTTTTGTGAACCAAGTTACAATTATATGAACTAAGAAGTTCGATCACATGAGTTTGAAAGTGCAATCGACGCGTAGAACATTGTAAAGTACCTACCCGCACCCATGAACCGAACTTTTTCTCAGCGCTTAACCGTTAATTTTGGAGGTCCGTGACCGCTTAAAACCAAACCTTCAGGTTGAGCCGAAGCTTGACTCTCCTACTTGTCCTGACAGGCACCTCCGGAACTCCCCAAGTTTCTAACTTTAGTTCATGGACCGGACTGCCCGTTACTGTCTTCTTAAAAGTTTCGGTAAAGTTAGAGTCGGCTAATTCTTTAACCGCCGGAACTGCTTTCCCATGCAAAGGAAGAACGCTGTGTAAACTAGGTCTCGTCAATTTTCCTTTGGTTGAATACGAGTTTTCCGGGAAACTTGGTAACGTTTTTCCCTATTTGTCACAGAGTTTTATGCGCAATTCAATACAAAGTTTCAGAAAATTTTACGGAAAAATATTCGGAATGTTTCTTCAAGATGGATATTTTATCGAGAGAAATGTTTTTCTTGAGTGAAGCAGCACTGCTTACCCATAAAATGCATTCCGATAGCTAGGGAATAATACCGCCTATCTGCATACTGACGATTTTGCGGAACGAAGAGAAAACTTCGCCATTTTTGTAATTTTAAGGATGGATTTGCAATTTTTTATGCATTACAGCGTCATTTAAGTGCTCCCTAACAGAATCGACAAAATCGAAATCATTGGTTGCGTATCTTACATTGTAGAATACGGCAAAGACGCCATGGCCGGATTTAGCTACTTGCCGCCCATGGGCCGCCTGTATTTTGCCGCCCTCTTCTCATTCATTTTGAAACATCAATAAAAACCATCAAGTGAACGTGCCGGATGGAGGAGGGTGCATGAGATCGTTCACTCGTGTTGGACACATTTTTTGCGTAAGCCCTGTCAACACTACTAGCAAAATTTCACGGAACTTCGCGCAAAAGTCCAGTTCCGTAAACCTACCTCTGTGTGGACAAGACCTTTCATTTGTAAGAGATGAACTGAAAAATTAAGAAAGCACAAACATTAATGTGGTTTAATAATTTTAACTTCCGCCGCCGTGCCGCGCTGACCACACTGTGTTTGGCGCAATGCGTGAAGTATTCATGTAGTCTTGTAGGCACTGTGCGTTTCACGCCGCGCCGACCGCTGTTGACCGTACTGTGTTTGACGCAATGCGTGAAGTATTCATGCAGTCTCGTAGGCGCTAATATGTGTTACATGCCGACCGACGTGTCGAGGGCTTCTCCTTTTCATCTCAAGTCCTCGTCATTATTTCTCTTTGCGCCGCGCTGCTCCAGGCCAAATTGCGTGTTTGGTTTCTCTCTTAACTCAACTAATTAAAGGTGCGCAGTCTTTTGCATCACCGAAATACGACAAAAAAAAAAAAAAAATAATGAATTCTCAGGAAATGAGAGATTTTGTCACCTTTTCTTGTTTGTAATTTTTTCCTGGATCCGATTTTTTTGTACCTGCATTTAAAAAAATTGCAAAATTTGCCGCCCCCTAATTTTGCCGCTATGGGCCGCGGCCCATGTGGCCACCCCCTTAACCCGGCCCTGAAAGACGCTTACTCATTTTTGTCAAAATTGTCAGTTAGACGGTATTGTTCGTTAGCCCTAGCTTTGCCACACTCCTGAGAAATTATGAGACGGTTTGGAATGCAGTAGTTATGGAGTCGATATTTTCAAAAAATATGTATCTACGTGAAGAATATCCGTTGGATAACACATAATCTTGATAAGCACTTTAGTGGGAGGAAGAGGGAAGATGAATTCTAGCTGACACAGATTTGCCCCTAGTGTTTGTTTTTTTACACGAGCATGTTTATTTGACTGAATGTTTATTTATTTACAAAATAACTCTATTTTCTCCCTCTCCTCTTCTTTTTTCGGTGCCATCCAACATGCCTTGAAAGATCAATCACGCCTCTTGACAAACCGGAAAGAATGTGAAGTCATCTTCAAACTCAATCTTGAATTCCACAGCCATGAAATCGCATTCTTCTGGTAAACATTCCTGATAACTAGTCTGATAGCAGGCAGCTTTTGATCGCGAATATCTGCACTGCTTCAAACGGAAACTCCCCTCGTCTACCTTGTCTCAGTCCTCAAAAAGAGAAATGCAAACTGAATTCCGGCCATGATAAAAAAACAAGTGTCCTCTTCGGCTGGAATCCGTAAATTCAAATAAGCAACGAACTGACGGGCTTGGAGGACAAGGCGCATAAGTGTAGTTCTTAAAAAAATCGAGATTTTTATAATTTCAAGTGAAACTAGCCTTAATGCATATTCTCTGAAAAATTCGCTCCCGAATTCCAATTTTTAAGCATCAAAAAGTCAGTTTGAAATTTTTTCCCGCCATAAGGATCCATGTAATTTCTAAACTCCAAACACACAATCCTCGAAATAGCAAAAACTGCACTTATGCGCCTTGTCCCCCAAGCCCCTCAACTGGAGTGTTTCTGCCCACTTTCTTCCGCCCGCCCCCGCCTTTCATCGACTATCAGTGTCCCTGATTACACCTCTCTTCGCAAACAAAAGACAAAAGTGCGCAATTCCAGCTCCCTTCCCGCCCCCTAGTCCGCGGAATGCAAAATTTTCCATGTCCCCTCCTACCCTGGTGCAGAAACGCGGATGATCTTATGTCAAATTATCAACCACGGGCAACAATAATAATTCAGACGCATATCGTAATTTTATCCCCACCCGCGTCCGAAAAAGGGGCGGGGACGGGGGGGCTACCGGGGAATTAAACTTGACACTGGCCCAAAACACTGTCAGTCTGCTTCGAAACTCAGGCGCGCGGTTAACTCAACGTGTGAGCGGCGCATTAGTGAGGAAGATATTGACCCCCGGACAGTTTTCGAACTCGTGTCTTCTCTTTGATTCCCGAGTTTTTTGTTTTTGTTTTTTTTTTGCTTCTTTTTTACAATCAAGAAAGCAGCTCTTGGTGCGTGAATAAAAACTAACTGTTTCGGTAATTTTTCTCTTCTTTTATGAGGGGAGGGGGGGGGGCGAGTAAGGGACCACTTGGTTGAATGAAATTCAGTACTTCGTGTGTCCTTTTTTCGAGTGTCTTTAAGAGGTTTTAGTTTTGGGGTATTCTCTTCATTCTTTTCGCCGGACGGCGTGAAAATATTTTGTTCTTCCCCCGGCATATTTCATCAATCTCTTCTAGTATAACTTTAGTCTAGGACCGCGTTACAGGACGATTGCAGTTGTATTTTCCCCCTTTTTTTCTTTTTTTCTTTTCTCAATTAATTTTTTGCGTCACTCTCCTTATTTCCTTGGGATTTTATTATTCAAAAAAAGTTTCGGCCTCATAATTGCCTTTATTTTTTTCTCTCATTTTTGCAGCCATTCACTTTTTTCACAAAAACTGCAAAAACCCCAAGAAACTTCCAGATTTAAAGGGGTAAAGAGTCCGGCCAAAGTCTTAAACTTAGTGATCCAAATTGTCTTGTTGGGTACTTGTAAACCGAATGTAGGTCCCTTCATTTATGAGTGATGCAACAGTCATGACGTGTGAGTATGTTTAGCCCTTGCAGGAGCGGTTCCGTTCCTTAATCCTTACCTATTTGCGTTTTTATCAAAAGTAAAAAAAAAGTCGGTATGGATTGATCTGAGCCTTCTGTGTGCTCCGAAACAATATGAAATATTTTATCGCACAAAGTCCAATATTTTTCGATTCAGGTCCTACAAATGCTTTTAACCCTTTATTGCATAGCGTTGCATGAAAGCAACAAATAGTTTTTGGCTTTATTTCTATGCTGGAGTATTAAATTGAATCAAAGCAAGAAATGATTTTTGAGGAACATTTTAAGTCTGATCTCCTTACTTTAAAAAAACCCCATAAAAATCGATTCTAACCGACTCCAATGTTGAAAAAATACTGTAAGTATAATGTGGATTTTCCCTCAAAAATCAACGAGTAGCTCGTGCAACAAAGGGTTAAAACAGCATGAAAAAAAATACTCAATCGGCTGGCTAAAGTCCAATATTTTTCTTGAGAATAGTCTCCTACTTCAATAAGTGATGCAACAATTGTGACATTTTGACGTATTCCTGCCAAACGGAACTACACGTGTGCATTAGGACACGAGCCCTGAGACCTATAAGAACTTATACATATCAGGGCTCTCTAATACCGCGCTTAATAAACAACGGCGCAAGGCTCGAAGCGAACGCGCGGCGACAGAGCGCGACCCGAAGTTGCTAATTCAGTTTTCGCGATTGGACGCCCACGACAAGACGCGCGCCGCGACGCGACGCACAGAGCCGCGTCGGTCGAACTCGCCGAGTGTTCTTCCTTTCTCGCGTGTGGTTTATCCGTGCTTCGACCAAGTGGTAAATCTGGATCAGGAACGCGACACCAGCCATGGGCGCCGATCAGGATCTCGAGGATTTGATGAGCCACATAGGTACGTATTCCTGTTCGATCGGAACGAAGTACTATCAAAATTATCAAATTATTCCCACGTTGCGCCGTGCGCATACAGGGTACACAAGTCCGGAAATAGTACTGATTTCTTAAGGGCGGCCCGGAAGTACTGAAAAAGTACTGAATTTTTCCGTTGAGGAGGTACCGAATTTCTCGGAAATGTACTGAGAAAGCACTGTGAAAGTACTGATTTTTGGTCGGCCTGTTTTGGTAGACACCCTGGCATAGAATAATGAGGAGGAAACGTGATTTGGCAAAATTTTTCAGTGCAGTTTTTAAAACGAAAAATAATTTATCCGTACTTATTTCTGTTATGCCCCTCCCGCCATGTTCCTAAAGAATTTTTTCGAGAAAATATTGTTCCACATGATTTTTTTCTCCCTTTTTGAAAGGTAGAAGAAACATAATTCTACAAAGTTTCTCTTAGAATCCCGTCGATGGAACATGTTACATAGGGTGTCCCAAAAGTACTGCCCCTTTTTCCGCAGAGGGCGAAAGAATGCAGATATCAAAATGCGGTTTGTGTGAGGTTATAGTCCTAGTAATTACCTATAAAACAAGACCAAGTTGAGCTCTGTAGCTTAAAATTTGACCGAGATACAGCATTTTGAAAGTGACGTGTCAAGGTGCCGCCTACGAGATTTTCAACATTTTTTACGGACGAACCCTAGGACGAACAGACACGACGCATCTGCAGGTGGTCCTTTAAGATCCGGTGCAATGAACTTTTTGAGATGTCAAGCAACACCTGAAACTTACGCAAGGATAAATGACGGTCTCCTTGAACAACAGCAGCAACGGTACCGATTAATTCGTCTGTGGTGGAGGTAGACGGTCGGCCCGGTTTCGCGGGACTTTCCGCCGATTCGCGGCCGCCAGAAAAAGATTTAAACCAACGACCAATGCTACTTCTGTCCAAACAGTCGTCTTTATACACGCCTTTCATTTCATTAAAAGTGTTTTTTACTGACATTCCTCAACGAAAACAATAACGAATAACGTGGTGTTGTTCTTTTCTTAATTCGGTACTCATCGCGAAAGAAACTTCCAAAACGACAGAGGGATGAACTCAGATTGACGTGCCGGGAAAGCTTGACCAACTTGGATGGCACTAGCGGACACTTTCAATCCTGTCGTTGGTCTGCATAGGGGCGCTTACACGTTGCCAAATGCCGCCTAAAACACAGTGTTGCCATATGTTTCTGGCCGCTTCTTCTTCTTTTTAAAACCGTTTCATTCTTAAACTTGGTTTTTTCTTTCGTAAAAAATGTTGAAAATCTCGTAGGCGGCACCTTGACACGTCACTTTCAAAATGCTGTATCTCGGTCAAATTTTAAGCTACAGAGCTCAACTTGGTCTTGTTTTATAGGTAATTACTAGGACTATAACCTCACACAAACCGCATTTTGATATCTGCATTCTTTCGCCCTCTGCGGAAAAAGGGGCAGTACTTTTGGGACACCCTATGTACAATGTATTTCTTCAACAAAATTTTTAAAAGTGCTTCCTTCAATTTTTCTACAAAATTAAAGAAAAATATCAATTATGTAACATGTCTCTGCAAGTTTTTTCGCGAAATTTTCAGAATTTAAAAGGAAAATGTTTTGGCAATGTTTTGCGCAATTTTCTCGATGCACAATGCCGAGGACTCGTATTTTGGCCAGATTCTTACGCGAAATTCTTAAAATTGAGAGAAAAAACATTCTTGCGCTGTTTTCGTGAAAATATTTCCACATGTTTAAAATAACCAAAAAATATTTGACAAAAAATTCCGGAAAATACTTTGAAAACATTCAGAATCGTTTAAGTGTGTTCGAGAGATTGCGGGAGCGTCGTAGAACTAGTGCGAGACGAGTAGAAAGTGATGTGAGCAATATTTTAAAAAAAATTTAAAACCATTGAAGTTCTTATGTATTGGGTGGTCTCCTCCTGACTTCCACCCTACCGGCAGTAACACACCAACGCATGATAATATTCCTCCCAAAAATATGTTAAAATGTCAAGTCTTTGAACGCTGATATAACACTGTGAGGGCGTCACAAGAAAAAAAGCGTCACGGAATGGTTTAATGTTGGCGTCCAAATAATTTTTAGCGTGTTCTGGCTTTCCTTACATCTAAGAAGGCATCTTAATCACATCATTCCAGTGGCCCGATCATTTTTCCCATGAAACGGTTCGGATCTCGCGACTCATCCCTCTTCCGGCACAGCCAGACGTACGGTTTTGCCGCCCTGGGCTGGACTGCCCTATAGGTCTGCAACAGTTTGATTGCATTTTGCAAAAAGGAACCACGAGCATTGCAACGTTGCTAAGATTGTGCAACTTCTCTTGTCTTGGAAAAAAAAACCTGATTATCCATCGACAGTTTCTATTTTACTCGCTGAAAACTGTGGATCTAAGACCAAAATTACCATGTAAATTTCACATTTTTTCAAGATTTCAGTTATTTTACTTCAAAAGATGAATTTACACAATCTTGGCATCATTGTAATGCTTCTGGTTCCTTTTTGCAAAATGCGATCCAGTTTGTCGCCCATGAGCCTCAAAATGGATGAAAAGCAAGAAAACTCAATTTTAAAATCTTCATTCAATCAATTTTTTTAAAATTTTTTTTTATTTTTTTTTCAAAGCGTTCTCTTAATAACTAGCCAACCCAAAAATTCGCTGCTGTATGTTGCGGCGCATGTGCTGCAACTCTGCACCTAAATCCGGCCCTGTCGTCCGGTGATGTTGATGCACCTACCTGCCTCGGTTGCCCAGTCGTTAAACTGTCCTACAGATGGAGCAGTGACTACGAATAATACAAAATTATTGATTCTCATCGCTCCGTCACCACCAGTAATTGCGAAATTAACATTTCACAGTTAACCGTCATCCTTGAAACTCTTTACGCTTTTGATTGAGCACCACCAGGTCCCTTCATTATGAAATTAAATTCTTCATCAGAACAGGCGTGTTTCTCATTAAAATGTCTCCAATATACAAAGAGGTATTATCCAACCGTCATATTGCGTGCAACTTCTAAAATTGCTCTGCTTCTTTAGAGTTCAGTCTGCAGTTAGTGGCATCTCCCGCACTTACGCTAAAAAAAGCCGAAGAATAGAGAGTGATTCGTTATTTTTAAACTAGCGAAATGCCCGTGACTGGAATCACGGGTCTAGAGGCCGCTAAAATATCTATAACCCCGAAAAAATGGTGGTAGGGGAGCAAGAAATGCCATAAAAAAAAATAATGATAAAATCGATTGAAAAATGAGTTGAGGGGAGATTGTGATGGAGCTAGAAAAATGAGCTGGGGGAGGTAGAATAAATGCCGCAAAATATTAGAACTAATCTAGCAATGATTTATTAAAAAAAAAGAAAGAAAAAAAATGGAAAAAAAAGAAAAAAATTTGTTGAAATAAAACATCAGCTGATAGCAAACAAAGGTTACCAAGGAAACCAAGAATGGAACTTTCATAAAAACAGATTAGTGGAAAACAGCGTAAGTAGGGCACTTACGTTAATTACCGTTTATAAGTAAACGGCAAGTGCGATTTAACCAAAAATCTAAACAGTTCTTTGTAAGACCAATATGGACAAAATTACAAAATTTGAGACAGCTAACGTAAATCTAACGATAGTTATCGTGAACGAAAGAATTGCTGACATAGATCCGGTAACTATTATAGGTGGGATGGGATGGGATTTTCCGAAGAAAATACACTATTGTTTTTAAATTCTATACTCACATGTGATCACCCACTAGGAAGGTTCCGAATCGGGAGCCAAGCCTCCTAATTTAAGCGGATTTCCTTTTAATTCAAGCAGAAATCCGATTGAGTCAAGAGAATTTATTCTTGTTAAATTGTCTAGGAGTCTGGACTTTAGATCCAAGAGTCTTTTTCTCCAGTGTATGATAGGTATTTAAGGTATGAAAATGTGCACTCCGATGACGTCCCCAACGGGTGCAACGATGACGTCCCGGTAACGTCACCAGCCAAAAATACTCGGAATCGATTCTAGAATCAAAATGCGCTTGATGCCGCAATACTGCCATGCTAAGGAAGAACGCCGTATGAACATTCGAGAGTTGCCAAATTTCCCGCGATAAAACATGTATTTTTGACAACATTCATGCATATTTTCCCTTGAAATTTTCAGATATTTTAGATTTAATTGCGCACAAAATTGTCCGAAAATTTTGAAAATTATTATTAACAATTTGCCCAGGAAATTCGGATTATATCGGAGGAAATTTGGCAACACCTGAAGGTTCATACGGCGTTTTTCCTTAGCACGGCAGAATAAGGGGATAGAGACAGGACGGACATAGGACGGACAGAGAAGGGAATCGACTTTTTATAGTAAATATTCGAAACTGTTTATGGGGACTGTTTTGGTCGAGTCGGGAAATCGGATTTTCAGATTTCAACGGAAAATCTTCTTTAATGCCCTGTAAAATAAGTTGCAAGCAGTTCAGCTCATTATTATATCAAAGGAGGCATTATGTACCGTTATAATATGGCTATTCCGTGTCCTGAACATGGAACATTATAATGTTCCAGTGTCGTTAAAAATAATATTATTTTTAACGACTCTCTCACGAAATACTGACTGCAAACTGCCAGTTCGGTTTGACAGTTTTCGGCGGATTCTGTCTCAAAATGATGACAGAAAACGCCTTCACACTCCGAGGTCAATAGCTCAATCATGAGTGAACTTGGGGCAAAAATCCGATTGAATTGAGAATATTTTTTCTTGTCAATTTTTTTAAGAGTCAGGACTCAAGATCCAAGAGAATTTTCTTCCAGTGTAATTAAATCTTCATACTCTAAAATTCGTATCGCCGTTAAATAAATCGTTGCGCTTATTCAATAGATGCAGTCGCAACTTGTTATAAATGGCAAGGACAAGTCCTTGCGATCGATCGAAATCATCAAGGGCGTCTTATTATAATTTACTGCGAAGCAAGATTCGTAGACAACACACAAGTCAATTA